CGCAAGCCCCGAAACCGGGGGGGGGGGGGGCAGGGCCGTCCCTACCAGAGGCCAAGTGCTAGAGAATTAGTGACCTGACCTCCGCATTAGCTACCACTCACAAGCTCGCTCCCTGGTTCCTCGCAAGGGGACGTTTTCGGAGGTCGGGCCCTGCTTCCGATCACACTCGCGCCTGCCCGGAATGACTCTCCAGGCTCCGAATCCAGCCTGGGCACTTGCAAGTCTGGTTTCCAGGTCTCCCCACCCAACCGCACGCGAGAGGTGCCCGTTTATGCTGCCACGGAGATGAGGCCACTCGTCCTGCGTGTGTCGAATGCGGACTGGCTATTCCAAAGCTGACTGCTCCGGAACACAAACCCCTCCCGGGCCCACGACCGGGCTGTGCTACAAAGCCAGGGCCCGACCCTGCAGAGCTCCACTTTGCGGGTGTGACTGGCCCCCTGACGGCACTGCGGCGACTGACATGCCTACGCTGGCCAGGGGCACCGGACGGGGCGGGCTGGCATGTGCGCCAGGTTTCCAGCTCGCACTGTGGGTTGCTGTCATCTCCCTGCTCTGTGCCTCAGTTTCCCTGTGCTGTAAATGGGGACAATGACACTTTCCCTGAGGACACAGTTTGGGTCCCTGTATCGCAAGGGCAGGATCTCCTGTCCCTCTGGTGTAAGCAGAGGAGCCCAGGGGGAAACATAGGAGACCACTGGGCCTTCCCATGCGCTGCTCCTTCCTGCCTGCTCTCAGAGTGCAGCACGCACCGGCCCAGGGCCAGGTCAGCTCTGCTGGCTGCTCTCAGGTGGGCCTGGGACCTGCTCTTAGCCTTGCCCTAGGAACATGGGAGCAGGTGGGTGCTGGCCCCTCTGGAGAGCTGGCCAATTCGCAGAGATGCTGCAATAGGAGCTGGGTTCTTGTGAGCCCCAGAGCCCAGGCTGTGCCGGCCCCATGCACTGGGCACAGAGCGGGGGGTTCCCATGGACCTGCTCGATGCCCAGCCAGCTGGCACATCTGCAGCAGCGCTGTTCCCACAGCAGCTATACCCTCCTCTCTCAGTTGTAGCCCCGGGAGTGTTGCTCTGCTCTGGCTCTGGAGGGGCCACGGGCCCTAGCTAATCAGTAAGCGCCCGTCCCCCAACAACATGACCCTGCAAGTGAAGTTCAGCCCCCGCTGCACTAACTCCCTCTGTTTTCCTCTTCTGTTCCTCTCCAGCGCCATGGAAACCCACCCCAAGAGCCTGGACAGGAGCGAAAAGTCCCCTGAATCCAAGGATTTGCTCACTAGCCACACGGCCAGCACGCTGTGCATCAGCTCCAGGAGCGAGTCCGTCTGGACCAGCGCGCCCAGGAGCAAGTGGGAGATCTACCACAAGCCCATTGTGGTGGTGTCCGTCGGAGGCGCCATCTTCCTCTTCGGGGTGGTGGTCACCAGCCTGTCCTGCTTCCTAGAGACCAACAAGATGGTTTACAAAATGTGCGGCCCAGCTTTCCTCTCCCTGGGGCTGATGCTCCTGGTGTGCGGCTTCGTCTGGATCCCGGTCATCCGGAAGAAGCAGCGGCAGAGACAGAAGTCGCGCTTCTTCCAGAGCATCAAGTCGTTCTTCTTTAACCGCTGAAGGCCGCAGCGCTCGCCGGCGGCATGCAACGCCTCTTGGGCCTGGCTGGATTTGCCATGAGATTGCTAGCGCCCAATCCTGCTCTCGGACATGCCTCCTGGTTCCCCTGCTCGGACTTCTCCTCTCCCCATCTTCACCCCCAGACTGGTCCTCACTGTGCAAGCGACCGTCACTCTCTGTGTGAGGAGAGCAGAACCCTGCTGCTGAGGCGAACAGGTGGGGCCTGGGATGGGCTAGGTGTCCTTGGCTGCCCTTGATGACCTTTTTAGACCCCTTCCACACACACGCTGCTCTGATGCTAACAACGGGATTTCGCTAGAACGTGTGAACCCTTCCTCAGGCAGGCGACTCTCACTCCCAGGAGCAGTCGCATGGATTCGAACACTCGTGTGAGTAAGAGTCGCGGGACGGGTCTGACAGAGCAGAACCCGAAAGGATTTCAGCCGTGTTAACCGGGGAAACAGGCAATGTTAGCCAGGGACGGGACCGTTTTCCATAGCCGCACGGCTACAACCCTCTGTCTGGCTAAGCAGGCTACATACAACACTTCAGATCTAGAAGATCCAGAGTGCCAGGACATGTCCATTGGATCTGAAGGAGACAGTACTGCAAGGGCAAACCAAATCATTTCTTTCTAGCCACCCATGCATTGGACCTCAGAGGACACATCCAGAACGATAAACATGCATGATCCACAGCTGGGAATGGCAGGACTCAGATGGGGACGTGCATGAGGTACGTCTCTTAAGGAAATGAGCGTTGATGTGCGACGCTACTCTAAAGGGCATTGCGAAATGCTGCTTACATACCACATTCTGATGGAGGCCTCGGGTGCTATTTATTTCTACCTAAGTAGCCAAGTCAAAGAGCAACTGAGCATCAGAAATAGCATTTCTCTGTTCAGTTTTAGAGTTGGTCTCTAAGAAATTCAATCTGTATGTTTATCTCCTTTCGGAGCGCTTGTCTGTCAACATGGATTCCAGCTCAGCAGAAATCTCAGACATTCCACACAGGCTGATCAAGAACAACTGTCCAAGAGACGCTTTGTTTCACTCAAGCTCACAAAGCTCCCATCATCAATAAGTATTATGTACCCCGAGGAAATTTACCGACACAAAGTGGGAACCGTTTTGGAATATTTTTATTTAATACAGTAGTTGTCATTTTTTTCAATGAGGCCTGGTTAGTTTAAAAAAGCATGTAAATACAATGTCCCAACTCCAAGTCAAACTGTGCAATTGGTCTTTGGATTGGATTCTACGGACAAGCTATTTACAAAGACACGTAGTTTGTATTTGGCACCTAATAAATGTCTTGATTTTCAAAGCTACAGAGCTCCTGTTGCCTCTACTGAAGTCAAAGGGAGCTTAGAAGACTTAGCAGCCCCAACTGGATTGTATCTCTGGTTAGCCTCATAAACATAGCATGGAGTAATCTCATATCTGCATGCAGACCCTCCTTTTCCCAGGTAAGGACACGTCCGCACACCGACACCTCTGGCTTTGGTCAGGTTTCATTGTAACAGTCCTGGATGTTTGTCATCCTGTGGAACTCCTTGCCAGAGGATGTTGTGAAGACCAGGACTTTAATAGGGTTAAAAAACAAGCTAGAGAAATTCACAGAGGAGAGATCCATCAATAGCTACCAGGCAGGGCAGGTAGGAATGGTGCCCCTAGTCTCTGTTTGTCAGAGGCTGGGAATGGGTGACGGAGGGGATCATTTGATGATTTCCTGCTCTGTTCACTCCCTCTGGGGCACCTGGCAGTGGCCACAGTTGGAAGGCAGGACACTGGGCGAGATGGGCCTTTGATCTGACCCAGTCTGGCCATTCTTATGTGGGTTAATGCCCAGCAGAGACCAAATGGCACCACAACATGGGAAAGGCAGAGTCTAGCTCTGCCCTCGAGAGCGGGGGAGGGAACCATTTTTGGTCGGGGGTCACTGACCCACAGAAACATCATTTGGGGACCACACACAAGTGAGAAACAAAAACAAATCCCTCACTGACGCGGCCCTAGAGAAGGAGACAGACACTCCCCATATCTCCCTCCCACACCAGACCCTAGGGGAGGCCCTGGCTAGTAGATTTTGTGTGCTCCAGCCCCACGGAAGGATGCCAGGGAGCTGGAGTGCTAACATGGGCTCCCCAATGCTGGGGAGGAGCCCAGGGCCTCTGGGGCTGGATCCAGGCAAGCTGGGGGCTGCATCTGGCTCCCACGCCTTAGGTTCCCCACCCCTGCTCCAGAGCCAAATGCAGCCATTCAGCTCAGAGAGCAAGTCAAGTTCCTTAGGAGAGAGAGGAAGGAATGTCTGTTGTGGTTTGCAGAACTCTGGAAATCTTCACACAGCTTTAGCCATTCTGTTTCAAACTTCAATCGCCTGATCGGAATAGTCTCTGCCGGCCTTCAAATCAATGGGGTGGCCCCTCAGCTGCTGCGTGCTGTCATAATCCCCTGGAGGGCCAAGCCACTAGGGCTTCACAGACTAGGGCTTCTTCTCTGCTACACACTTTCTTGTTCAGCCTTGGGCAAGATACTCAGCCCCACTGTGCCTCAGTTCCCCTCCTGCCCACCCTCCCCAGGGGCTTGGGAGGATAAATGTGATGATGATTGTGACCTGCTTGTGAGATCGGCTGGTGAAAAGCATCATACGAGAACCAGGCAAGCAATGGCATGATGAGAATTCACCCCAGTCCAGGGGGCTACTGCTTGGAACGCCGATTCACTCGTTCCCCGCTGATGAAACGGAGGGATCTGAAGAAGAGCATCCGCCGGAAGTCGCATTAGGCTCAGTGCAGCCCTGTCACAGCGCATGGGATCCTGCCGGCACGGAGACAGCTTGCCCTGGGGCCAGAGGGCAAGGCACTGATGTGTTTCTTGTGCTAACAGCATCAGTAGCTCTGCTCTGCCCTGGTAACAGCAGTTCTCTAATTACTCTGTGGAACAGACAAGTTCACTGAGCTTGCTATTAACCTGAGCTGGCGGGAACGTCTCTTTCACAGCCCTCTACCTCCCTGGTGCTGCTAGATCTAAGCTAGCCAGGCCTGCTTCCAAAGCAATTCCACCAAAACCAGATGCCACAGCACAGAGGTTCCTTCCATGGACACCCAGTGCCGGGGCTCGCCCTTAGCTGCAAAGGGAAGGAGTCCTGAAATTTGCCCTCCGGCAGCAGTTGCAGTGTGGGGCCAGGGTTCTGGGTAGGGTTGCCAGGTGGTTTCAACAAAAATACCAGACACACTTGACATGACATCACAATCGACATTCCATCTTACTCAGAAAATACCGGACATTTCTGTTTTCTCATTTCTATTGTCTCCATTTGTTTCCCGGACAGAAAGCTCAAATACTGGACTGTCCAGTTCAAAACCGGGCACCTGGCAACCTAGTTCTGGGGCTTGGAGTTAATAGATCCCAGGGACGGGAGAACGCTGCTCCGGTTGGAGCCTGAGGGGTCATGTTAATAGGAAGGTGGGTGGCAGGTGGGTGGGAGGGGACAGCTTTCAGCATACGCAGCACTGGCTCCGGGGAACGGTCCTGGGGAATGGGTCCAGTATTCCACGAGCAGATCCCAAAGGAGTCAGCTGGCCTGACATGGTTAACAGTCAGGGGATCGGTATAGCGGCTCCTTGCCCATCCGTTTCAGCTCCGTGCCAAAGGAGAGCCTCTGCCCGGCTAACGCCCCATGCACGCCCAACGGCCTGGCTCCGTGCCCACAAGCTGCTCCCCCAGGCTCTCTGCTGACATTCACGGGTGCAACTGTGTCCATTTACACCAGGGGAGGAGCTGGCCCAGGGCCTCTGGCTCTGGCAGGGAATCTCTAATTTTGACTGCCACAAATGCAGCTCCTCCTGCCGCCCGCCCGGGAAGGTTCAGGTGGGGGAGGTACCCAGCAAAGGACCATAGTGCTGTGCGTGCCAGGCACCCACCCCACCCTTACCACAGGCAGCGGGCTCCAGACACTGGCATCCAACGTGTCTTCCGACGTGGTGGGATTGTCCCCACCCTTCCCCCGGGATGTGACAAGCCGAGAGCGGCTTCCTCTTGAATCTTCTCCCGTTCGCTGATTTTACTCCTGCACCTGCTAACATCATGTTGGGGGGTGGCAGGACTCTGGCCAGCTGGTGCCTCATTTCTGAATATACTGAATAAACTATTGGCTCAAACTCTCCTCCTTGTTTGTGTGTAACTATGCCTGGAGGGGGGCGGTTGCCACTCCCAGCCCAGTCCGAAGAGAGGGAATTCCAGTCCCATGCTCACAGGGTCACGAGCAGTCCTGCCTTCAGAAATCCAGGCCAGGCTGTCCAGGTGGGCAAGGGCTACTCGTGCTTGTATTTAATTTTGTATATGTATTTATATTGTGTTTTTTTAAATTGTGCACGCCGCATGGAATATTGTAAATAGAGAGGTGGGGTAAAAATATTGTAAATTAATAATAGTCATGTGAGCAAGAACCACACCTGGGACCTCAGGGCTGCTGTGAAACAAGTTCTTCTTCACACAGCGTGTAGTCAACCTGTGGAACTCCTTGCCAGAGGAGGCTGTGAAGGCTAGGACTATAACAGAGTTTAAAGAGAAGCTAGATAATTTCATGGAGGTTAGGTCCATAAAAGGCTATTAGCCAGGGGATAAAATGGTGTCCTTGGCCTCTGTTTGTCAGAGGCTGGAGAGGGATGGCAGGAGACAAATCGCTTGATCATTGTCTTCGGTCCACCCTCTCTGGGGCACCTGGTGCTGGCCACTGTGGGCAGACAGGATGCTGGGCTAGATGGACCTTTGGTCTGACCCAGTACGGCCGTTCTTATGTTCTAAGTGATGCCACCCCTCTGCCCAGGTGCGTTATATAAAGGTGCTAATCATATTCTCTGGATCGTTCCCCTCCACTCCCTAGGCATCCCCCTTTGCTTTTTCACCTGCAGCTTCCCACTGAGCAGGTATCTGGATTAACAAATTGACTACGAGCACAGGGCTCAATTAACAGTTTCTGCTCAATGTGCAGCTATGGTCCAGGAGACATTAGGGTGCCCAGGGAACGGAATGGAACACAACAGAGAGCAGAGCAATGCCTGGATTGCAAAGTGGCCCCCCGTAGCTGCATGCTGGGAGCAGCACAGGACACCCCATCTCAAAAGGGTCATTGCAGAACTGGAGCGTGATCAGAGAATGGGGTTGAGAACGGTCAAGAGCCGAGACTAACTCTCCTGTGAGGACAGACTGAAAAGACGGGGGTTGGTATTTCAAGAGGAGAGAGATAACAGGGCTGGGGATATACCAGGACTGGAGTCTGGCTCAGGAATATCCCTGCTCCCTGTTGTAACACAAGAACAAGGGGAGAGGCAATGAAATTAAAAGTGAGAAAAGAAAACATGTAACCGGACTGGAACTCAGTCATTGAAGGGAGTAGCAGTGAAGAATTTAGCAAGATTGAAAAAGCGATTAAAGAAGAATAGGGATCAAGAATATTAGACTTAATGACAGCAAAAATCCTAAAAGAGATTTAAAACGTTTATTAAAGCTAACGTTAAAAAGTTACATGCTACACAGGATACAGTTTACTTCTGATACAGTGCTGAGAGTGTCCACAAATACAAACTGTATTAGTCTGTATCTGACAACATCTGACAAAGTGGTTTGTTAGTCTTTAAGGACTCCACATTGTTTTCACAAATACAACGTTTCTTTTAAAAATCATAAGGTGCATGTAGTACATAATCAGAAATAACTCCCATTTAAATGACTGAATTTAACAATAGAGTTTTAGCTAATAGCATCCAAGTATTCAGGTACATTCCTCATGAAAAGCTGGGTAGAGATTTGGTTGCAGAAAGCAGACATGTCAATGTGTGAAACCTCGCCCTCAGTAATTGAGAACATAGGGTAAGTTGCCTGTGAGAAATACAGTCCCTCAGGAAAGTATCTGAGTTACTTTCCTGACTATACCTCCTATCGGCGCTCCAGCTCACCCTTCCTGGTATTGCTGATGGCCAGTGATGTGCCCTAGGGTAAATGTCACTTGGCCACCTGATGGCATCCCACACCGTGAGTTGCCACATCAGCTGAGCGTAACGTTTACCTCTTCCACATCCTCTTAACACTCACTCATTACTGGGCTCCAGGGCTGTGTCTAGACTGCATGTCTTTTCCGTAAAAGGGATGCAAATTAGACACATCGCAATTGCAAATGAAGCGGGGATTTAACCCCCACCCCCCGCTTCATTTGCATAAACATGGCTGCCGCTTTTTTCCAGCTCGGATCTTTGCCGGAAAAAAGCGCCAGTCTAGACGCGGATCTTTCAGAAAATAAAGCCTTTTTCGAAAGATCCCTTATTCCTTATTTTAAGAGGAATAAGGGATCTTTCGGAAAAGGCTTTATTTCCCGAAAGAACCCCATCTAGACTGGCGCTTTTTTCCGGCCACGCT